ACATAACATAACATTAAATCGTCCATGTAGACTTTAGAAACCATTTTTCCTGCAAGGCAAAGTCGTATTAAACACACTAAAACATGAAACTAAAAAGACGGCATTTTCTCCTCATCTTTGAATAGATTATGAATTGATAATTAATAGGGTCATGGACACGGGAAGTAGTGCTGTGGGGGCTGCATCATCCCCTAAAACCAGCCATTATAAAATCCATCACTTGATAATAAAGGATAATAACGTGTGATGCAGCAGAGAGCGAGAGAACTTATGTGGACGAGGAAGAGGGTGGAAAGTGTGAATATGAACATAAATGTTGAGGTAATATAATTTCCTTTGATCATGAAGCCGAATGTTACAGTACAGTTCAATGGTTTATCAGTGAAGAGTATGAACTACACTGCAGACTGGAGTCTCTGTTAACATTGACAGACAGATGAAACGTCTCTATCGTCACTGCGCTGCATTATTATAAACTCTGATGAACTGGTTGTGGATCACATCTCTCTCTCATCCATGCACTGTGTGTCCTTCTTCAGCTCCCTGCAAGTCTCATGCTTTATATCCTGTTGTTGACTTTGTAGTTGCTGCGGCTGCTTTGACATACAGTATGCTGGTATTCAAGTTTGCTGTCGGCTGAAATGTAAAACATTCTCAAAATTCTTATTACTAACAAAGTTATCATGCTCATTCAAATGAATACAAAAGCCACAAATATAATGCACAATTTAGTACGACGTCATTATATAAACTGAACTTCTCTCAGCATCCCCAGCTGTGACCACTGTCCCTGAACAGGGTCAAGACTGATCATTTATTTATGATCATATTCAGGTGCATCTGTGCAAACATACCGCCCTCTGTGGGCCTAGCAAACATATTTTAATATATGAGATGGTGGTCTGCAATGTAAGTTATCATAATTACCTGTAGTATTAAGTTGATATGCACAAATGAATTACCAGAATGGCAGTACTTACGAATTTGTGTGCAGGTACTCAAAGGTAAGCTGAGCCCTGCTCAGGTTGCTATAGTTGGAGTAGGCCATGGCCACTCACAAGGATTTCCTGTTTCCTGTCCAACCGAGCTCTAGTCCAAAGCTTTCATCCTAAAGAGAGAAGAAAACTATCACAGGTCTTGTATAATAACCTACAAAGTACCATACTCCATTAACTGACACCACTGACATGCGCTGACATCAGCTGATACGGACGTTTTACAAGTCACAGGGGGCAAGTTAACACCCGCGGCTCCCCCCCATGTGAACGGTACCACGTGGGAGGCCTGTTTAGGAACAACAAAATGTTATGCCTCAAAGCAAAGAGCGCCTTTAGGCAAGGTGTTAGCTATGAAGACACTGAGTTACGTGTATGTAATTTTGAGGCATAAGTCAGAAATGGGTCTACCGTTAGCTAGGTTTCTGTGAAGTGAAGCCAAGTCATGTTAAATGAAGCGCATATGATATAAATGTTCCCGACGTTATACAGCAACGGTTAACGTTACTAACGTCTAATGTTAGGCTAGGCTAGGAAGGTAGCTAGCGGACATTAGCGTCTTCTACGGATTGTTTATGATGTATATTAGCGTTAACGGTAGCTAACGTTAGCTGCTTTACACTGACAAAAACATGTAGCTGACCTATCAAGTGATTTCCACCGACTTTGCAGACCGTTTCAAATGACGGCGACTTTGTAGTGGCTTCGCGCTTGTGTAATAATCCGTCCAAGGAGGAATAAATACTTTGTAACGTATCGTTTCCTTTTCCCTAACGTGAAATCCGCCAGGCCGCGAATAATCCAACCACTTCTTCGTTCGTTGGTTTCCCTCTGGTATGCAGAAATCCCGCCTCTATTTTTCGATACACAGCCAATAGGAAAGCACCATGTAAAGATTCTTAACGGTGATTGGAGGAGAAGCCTTGCAACGTAGACTGGTAACGCCGGTGCATCAGTCAGTTGTGGTTCCTGGAGTCATTGTTTAATCAGAGCGATATGTATTTATGTGTATAATAGAAAACATTGACTTACAGAAGAAAAATGTGTTTATCGATTGTCAACTGATCAGCCTATATAAGGACTTATAATTGACAATACCGGCCTGTTACTACTTCTGTCAACAGTGTCAGAAAACATCAGTACAATGACTTTTGTTGTTGACCAATTTTATTAGGCCTACTTTATTTAAAATGTAGGTGGTTGGTCCTCCTTTTTAGTTCTACACATTAAGGTCATTTTGACAATAATACCGCATTCACTGTAAGAGATTCAAAGCACGTTTAAAGTCTCTGCAAGTTGATCTCCATAGTGTACTAAAATAAGTGAATCAGAATCAGCTTTATTTGCCAGGTATGTGTACACATACGAGGAATTTGACTCAGGATTGTACATTGCTCACAATGTGCTTACTTATACTATAATATAATAATAAAATCAGACACAGGCTACAGTATAGAGAACACATATATACAAAACAAAAACATTATAGACAGATTGAGACAATAGTGCAATGAGCAGAGTGCAAAGGATGCTGGAGTAAATTATTATTATTTTATTATTATTATGTACATGTCAGAGGTGGATGAGATATACAGGTATACATACACATACATGTGTACATGTACATAGTGCAATGGAGCACAGTGCAAAGGATGCTGGAATAAATAAGTATGTGCAGGTGTTATGTATTTGACGTAGGTGGATTTGGTATACAGTATATCCATATGAGAATATAACAATATGAACAGCATGAACAGCTCTGAAATAGAGAATGAGAGAATGATGAATAAAAAAATAAGTGGTAACCTGTAAACAGGTGGCTGATTAGAGGCTGAGTTACTAGGTTATTGCCTATTGCACAGGAATTTTTCCTGACACCGTGAGACAGAAGTAAGCTGTTCATCAGAGTGATGGCTTGTGGGAAGAAACTGCTTCTGTGTCTGTTGGTTTTGGCGTACAGTGCTCTGTAGCGCCTACCAGAGGGGAGAAGCTGGAACGGATTGTGTCCGGGGTGACTCCTCCTGAAGTCCACGATCATCTCCACAGTTTTGAGCGTGTTAAGCTACAGGGATGATGAACGCCGAGCTGAAGTCCACGAATAGGATCCTTGCATATGTCCCTGGAGAGTCGAGGTGTTGCAGGATGGAATGCAGACCCAAGTTGAGAGCATCATCCACTGACCTGTTTGCCCTGAAGGCAAACTGCAGGGGGTCCAGCAAGGGGCCTGTGCTGTCCTTCAGGTGGGCCAACACCAGTCTTTCAAAGGACTTCATGACTACAGATGTCAGGGCGATAGGCCTGTAGTCATTTAGTCTAGAGATGGAGGGTTTTTCGGGGACTGGGATGATTGTGAAGCGTTTGAAGCAGGAGGGAACTTCAGACATCTCCAGTGATCTGTTGAAGATCTGTGTGAAGATGGGGGTCGGCTGGTCTGTGCAGATTTTCCGGCAGGATGGTGACACACCGTCTGGGCCTGGAGCCTTCCTGATCTTCTGCCTCTGAAAGAGCTAGCGCACATCCTCTTCACAGATAGGGCGTACAGGTGAGGGGTTGGAGTGTGTGTGTGTGGGGGGGGGGGGCAGTGTGGGAAGGTGATTCTTTGAAGTTGGAGTGGGGGAGAGGTGTGACTGAGAGCTTCTCCAACCTACAGTAAAATCCATTCAGCTTGTCAGCCAGTCGTTGAGTACCAGCAGCACTGGGGGATGGTCTCCAGTAGTTAGTAAGTGTCCACAGGCCTTTCCACAGTGATACAGGGTCGCTGGCTGTAAGTGAAACCAATGCCTTCCAGGAAGATAGGAAAACACAACCCTAAATAATCAATTTACATTTTTTGGATATGCTTAATTGCTCTGGTATCTTAAAAGAAACATTTATCAGCATTGATCAAAATTCAGATTTCTGAATTTGGTCTCCTATTTCATCGCTGGTCCTAGGCTCCACGGAAAACTGATGTAGCCAAGTTTGTAATTTTCTCAGGATTCAGTTCATTGTAATTTAGATGAGTAAATGCAAAAGTTTATAATTGTGATGGAATTTTCCTAAGGGGTCCTAAGTAGGGTAAGTGGCCGTAAAGGACAGGTCGAACACATGTCAAGTTCAGGTCAAGTACAGACCTGACGACATGTGGGTAGACAAGAATGCAGGCTCTGCCTGTGACAGACTGGCACTTAAAGTATTATGACCTCCTAATTACAACGTGACTTAGGATCATTTAGGAAAGCATGTCTTGTTTTGAACCAATATCCAATACAATCTTCACACATGTATAGATGGGTGAAGAATAACCTTATTTGGACACATAGTGAATCTCAGTATGTTTAGGAAGGTCAAATATCCCCCGTCAGGCATTATTCCTGAGATTTGGTTTTGACACTGCATTGTGACACTCACTCGGTACTGTTGTTACCATTTCCTCCTCAGTTGAGCTTCATTAAACAATGCTGTGTAAGACATCCTGCATTTCCTGAACAGTCCTAGTAGTAGTAGGTGTTTGTTTGCGCATCAAGTCTAAGACTAAAGGGTTACATTAATAGCTTTACTTCACTTGGCAGAACCACAAATGAAACAGGTGTTGGTTACTTGCTTAACTTCCCACTAATACTAAATAAATCTAGCACTTATATTTTTGACTTTTAATATTTAATTCTTCCTAAAACTAGGAAAATAGTGATGTGAACAGGATGCCTTCTTGTCATCTTTTTATGAGCTGTACAGTGGGTACGGAAAGTATTCAGACCCCTTTAAATGTTTCACTCTTTGTTTCATTGCAGCCATTTTCCAAAAATCTAAAAAGTTCATTTTATTTCTCAGTAATGTACAATCAGCACCCCATCTTGACAGAAAAAAACAGAAATGTAGAAATTTTTGCAAATTTATTAAAAAAGAAAAACTGAAATATCACATGGTCATAAGTATGACGTGAGAGTGAAAAATTTAAAGGGGTCTGAATACTTTCTGTACCCACTGTATGTGCAGAAAATCCTGGACAAACTCACTCACTCAGTCTGGAGGGCATGTCATTTCATAACACTGGTCATTTCCATTACCACATTTTACTGTGCTAAGTGTCTAGTTAACTCTGTTATTAAACATAGTATTAAAAATTACCTGTATCATAGAAACCTTAGCAGGATGTTATATACCATTTAAACAGGCTAACTAGCCTAGTATGCTCAAAGACCTTAATATTAGATTTTTGACTGAAAAAAAAAAAACACTTCTCAATACATTCATCAATATACACATCTCACTCCAACCCGTTCAGTTCATTTTCCAAAAGTTATTGAGCGTAATTCTGGGAAATGTGGTAACTGAAGTAGACAAGTTAGTTAAAACAGAAAACAATTCCTGGGATGCACGGCCCATAACAGTGAATGTATGGCCAGTCAACAGTGTAGGCATTCCCAGTTGATTAGTTGTTCCCATTACACAGTGGTCCCATTACAAAATGCACTCCTTCTTTATCACATGTATGTTTCTCACTATCAGTCTCCCATAACACAGATGCTCCACTTATTTAGTATTGTACTTTCATTAAGTTGGGAAACTTGAGAGAGACAGACTAAAAATGGTTTCTTTTGTAAAATCTGTGGGATGCCCCTTTAAGAAATAGTGATACATATTGCTCTGTAAACCACCATCTTGTTTCTTCAGGATGCAGAAGATGAAAAATGTTTAGGTGTCAATCAAGGGCTCCTGCAAATTAAGTAAAACAGTAAGGTTGAAATAGTATCTGCACATTTTACAAGATGATATCTTGAGATCACAAAAAGACTGATTAATGAAAGTGAGCACAAACAGTCTCAAAACCATTCACACTGTATATTAGATATCATGCATTCTACTGTAGTTTTTCTGCAATTAGTAAAATGTATTTAAAATAGTTTTCCAGTTCCCACATATCAAAATGACTAAGCATTACCACAGTCAAAGATACAAAAACAAAGCGGTAATACACAAAATGACTGTTACATTTTGTAGATCCAGTCCATTAGTCCAGTTGTTGCGGCGTATGAGTGAATGTTTCATACTGGCAGATAAACAGAGGATCAAACAAACTCCTAGCAGACACACGCTGACTTCCAACAGATGCTGCACCGCCACACTCTGCTCCTCCTAAAGAATGAAAGTAGCGTATAACTTACAGGACAGGAAGGGAATCTGTAATATGGCAAGTTATGTGGTTCATGTGGGACACACTGTACCTGTGTTAACATGACAGTGAGTGTAGGGTCATTCTTGGACTGCAGACTGTAGCAGGTTTGTGATGCTGTAGGCAGCTGGTTGCTCGCTTCCACGTGGATGGGTGAAATGTTTTTCTCAGATGTAGGGCACTCTGGTGGAAGTCTATGTTAAAGTAAATCCACAAAAACACATAAAAATGACTCATTTGTTGATAGACATTATTTTTATGTAGCTAGGAAGTGGGTGATTTAAATTAAGCAAGCGTATGAATGAATGAACTTACAGGCTCATGGGCAGGAGGTGTGTAGGGGCACTTATGGTGAGGCAGGTGCAGGTGTCATTTCCAGACTCTAGAGTCACATTGACAATCTCATTGCCTGGGAAGTAAAACAATCGGTCATGGGTGAGGATTCATTAATTTAAACATTTACTTCACAACAAAAACAATCTACTGCACTACCAACCCCCAAGATGTAGTTGACTGGCTCTCAAGGCAGTGTGTAGACCAAGGTCTTTCAGAGAGCCACTGTTTGAGTTGGTAGTCACAGCCAGGGGAACCTTGAGACGCAAACGTGTTACTGAAGGAGACTTTATAGAGTTAACTGAAGTGTCTCTATCTATCAGAGGGGCAGGGACTGGCGAGACAAGCTCAGATGAACTTTCATTTGCTTTCACACACAGCTGGAAGTGTGATAAGGACAACAGGAAACGATTCCAGTCCTAAGAGAAGAATAAAGAGTATGATTTGCGCATTGATAATGGCCCAGGAGACACAGAAACACAAGCATACATGCAGTCACAGCCTGCATGACATTAGGTAGAAAACTTCCATTCTTCGAGTCCTTACCTTTTCTATGTCAGGGTTAGGCAAAGTGTGAGTGTAGCTGTAAGAGCTGAGGCAGATGAACGAGACAGCCAGAGTCAACAGACACAGGAAAAATGTCACCCCTGGAGGATTCTGGGATACATAATCTCTAAGGTTGGTCACCGGCTGCCAGAAACCCATAATTTGACTCCACATACACCTTGGATGCGACAAGCTGTGTAAACAAAGAATCACTTCCATTACTAAAGTGTTCACAGCTTCTGTCCATATCAGTACCTTTTGGTGGTACTAAAGTTGGACGGTTTCAATAAGACACAAAAATATAATCCCCAAAGGACTTTATCTTTCAGACATGTCTTTGAGTGATCTTTTACAGCATATCAACATTCAAAACGAGATTAAACAAACGGTTTATTTTGGCATTAAGTTGCAATAGGCTAGTTCTTGCAGATATCATACAATAATGCACTCAAATTATATATAACTATAATTATAACTACCTTTGTACGGGAATTCAGTCCAGATTACAGACCAACAGGAGACGTGTAACTCGTCTACAAAATCAGCCAAAGCACCATTGGTACAGTAACGTTAGGTTAACTTACTGTCAATGTAAGTTAACGTTGCTAACTAATTGCCTGAAAGAGCTTCATACCTTGAATTTCTCTAATCACGTCGCCAGTTTGGGTAAATTACAGTAGTACCCGAGTTTCTTGGTGGAAAACTGGAGACTGGACTTCGACATTTAAGATGTTTAAAGTTCAGTTACAGCGGCACAAAGACAACAACACGACAGTGCCGTCGATTTACGGGAGTAACAGGCTGTGACAACGTAGTGAATGACGTGGATCATGTGACTGACACTGGTAGCCAAGCTAGCGCTGGTTTATTACCATAAACATATTTGCATTGAGCCATAATAATAATTAATAACAAGGATGACGTTTGTTTTGTTTTGGACCAGTTTGCTGATAAAGTGGCACTACCTTCTTTGGCTAAAGGGCTAAATGAATTTCCGTCATGTTTTCAACAGAACCACATGGTGAGAATTACAGAAAGCAGACTGAGAAGCCAGGGCCAAAATATTACAGGGAATTCATGGTCCACCTGTTTTTATTACTAATACCCAGTGTGGTTGACGTCCCAAAAAATGAACAAGACAATGACTTAACTTGTATTTAATGATTAGTGTGACATTCACTGTGCCTAACTTGTCTGCATTTTATTGTTAATTATACTGTGTATTAAATACATTCCTATTCAGTATAATCACAAGGACAATGCTGGTTAGGCATTTAATGACTAACTTCTTTAAATGCCTCTATGCACTCTTGGTCCACCCAAACAAGTATGGACTTTGATGACTTCATCTGCCCAACTTCAAACTCAGAAGAGATCTAATCAGCATCTAATCAGTATTCTGTGTTTTTGCTTACAAGACTGATACTGACCAAAATATTAAATCTGGACAGGAATACAAAAATTATATATATTTTTTAAAAGGACATGCTTCATTCAGAAAATATTTCAAAAATAAAACAATGGAGATTTCAGAATTTAACTCATGATTAAAACATTTGCTTTCTCTGACAGAGAATTTGTGTATCAGTAATTGTATTTGGTGTCTCTAAAGAAAGGTGTAGTCCAGTGGAAACAAACGACTCCAGTAACTGAATAAACTATCAGAATTGAAACAAGTGGCATTTACATTTTCACACATTTAGCAACAAAAAAATCAAATATCCAATGTAGAAGCTCCTACTTTACAACAGGAAGGTTGTGACATTATTGCTCTTGGTCATATTGCTTTACATTCAAAGCTCTCAAAGCTCTTAATTGTAATACTGCAATTCTTCCAGAATGTTATTGCCACTCTGAGAATCAGTAACATAACTATTATTATAACACAGAATTTAAGTACCATTTCCCTTTGTCAAAACTTCAAACAGCACAGGTAGCAGTATTTACATTTATCATGCCATTTTTAAATACAGTATGATAGTTAAGGACTCCAGGTGACTTTTATAGGTTTGAATGTCCAAGTATCAGGGTGACCCATGTGCATCAGGTCTTTGTATGGGGAAGTGCTCCACTGGAAGGGTGGGACCTGGTCCCACGTTGGCCCGCTCACTGCCAGCATACCATAATCCCGAAACATCCCGTAGGAGGTCATCTGCACAGGAACATAAACTCTTAAACGTGCCACAGTCATAAATAACACAGAAAATACTCAGGGAGCATGATGGGTAAAAGTACGGGCAGAGAAATGAGAAAAATATAAACCTTCATGTCTGTTCCTCCATGTGGTCTCTGCCTTAAGGCACCAAACGGATATGTTCCATTAGCTGGGTTCAGGTCAGAACGGGCTGATATAGCATTCTCTCCATTCGCAGGTGGATTACAACCTTCACACTTTGACAGTGGGTCTTCCTTAAAGTTATTATACCTGAGGAGAGACACTGCATCTCATAAATAAAATTACATTTGAGTTATGAACCTATAAAAATATAAAATCTAATGTTGAATGTTGTTCGTATTATGCCAGTCTATGTCCACCTCCAAACCTGTGCAACACACAGACCTTACCTCATGAGGCGGACCATTGAGTCCATATCTGTGACAGCTGTCTGGTTTCTCCTGAATATCTGAGCCCGAGGATTCTGGTCCAGAGAGAACCACGGGCCAAACTTCTCAACCAGCTCATTGCAGCCACTGGCATTGAATATGTCCACATAGTAGCTACATATGACAACACATGTACAAAACACAATTTTGACACAAACAGAACACATGTAATCGATAATATATGTTAACAATAAAACTTAATAATCCCTAAATAGATACTTACGGTATGTTGTAACTTGCCCAGTACCCTTTCTCCAGCAGTTCCTGAGTTTTATCAGTGTAAATAACTAGTCCCCTGCAGCATTAAAAAGTAAGAAAACCTTATTTTACGTGATAAGTCGTGTATAGAAATACTGAAATAATCTTGTACTGATGACTTACGGAATCTGCTCTAGCACAACGAAGAGTTCCTCTTTAGTGTCAGACTTCCCTGGAGTGAAGTGGTTATAGTCCACAATCATCCACTGGTTGTTATACCTACAAAAGTACACACAGTCCAAACTGAGCATATGACTATTATCCTACTAGTACTAACCCCAGACCCTATTACAGCTGTGTGACAGCTGCCTTTTCATGTGACTCTAAATGGCCCTTTTCTCTTTTCTTTACTCCTATCAATCCACATGGTAGATAAGGTCACACAAAAATGTAATTAACAGGAAGAAAAGCAGCAGACAACAGAGCCTGGAACCTGCTCAGGAGATTACATCAGGACAGAGTGGTTAGAAAAGACCCAGCTTCTTACTGGTGTGTAAAACTCACGTTCCACTGTTATACTTGCTGAATATTTTGGCCCACTCGTTGCCAGTAGAAGCCAGTCGATTAGCCACAATGTTCCTCAGCCATTCCATGACAGTTCCTGTGGGCTGAACAAACTTCCAGAGAGCAGCATTACTGTTGCCAATGGTGGTCTCCAAAGTGACCTGGAGACACAAGATCAATTAGGAACAAGAAACTCCATCTAGCATAGCATTACTCAATTTATAACCAAAAGTGAGCTCTCACCAAGCCACTACTTAAAATATAAAAGTCATCTCCAGAGAAGATTGATCCAGGATAAGATGAGAATGCTTGAGTTCCACCGGGAAGAATGTCTGTGCCTGAAAAAAACTCAAGCACATAATAAATTAGACTAATCTGTATTCATGTCATAGACAGCAATAACACTGCCAGTCCATTACTGGGGCTTCAAACAAGAGAAACAAACACAAAAACTGGCTTTTGGTTTATGGCTATATGGTGTAAAGGAATAGTTTGATATTTTGGCAAGCTTGCTTTTTCGCAGAGAGTTAGATCAATGGCACTCTTCTGTCTGTCTGGTAAATATGAAGCTAGAGTCAGCAGCCATTTAGCTTAGCTTAACTTAAAGACTGAAAAACAGCTAGCTTGGCTCTGTCCTAAGGTAAAAGCCAGCAGCTCTGAAGATCACTAATTAACACACACACACACACACACACACACACACACATTATATATAATCCTCACAAAACCAAAGTGTTAAAATGAGTTGTGGTTTTACATGCTGGACTATTTCTTGGAAACTTGGTGTCACCATGAGTTTGCTAGACAGCCAGCTGAGGCATCTAGGAAGTAAAGATTTTGTTACCCTTGGACATAGCTAGGCTAACCGTTTCCCCCTGTTTACAGTCTTTATGCTAAGCTTAGCACCTACTGGCTGTTGCTTCGTATTTCCTGTACAGACAGAGTGGTATTGATTTTCTCATCTAACTCTCTTCAAGAAAGCACAGAAGCCCATTTCCCAAAATGTCGAACTATTTCTTAAATAGGCGAAGTGACGAACAGGAGACACCCTTGCATCAGTAAGCTACCTGAAGGAGAAACTTTAAAGGCAAAGATGTATTTCTTCATGATGCGCAGCATGGCCTGGTAGGTGTTCCAGGTGTCATGTGACACTAACAGCTCCTTATTGTTAGGCAGCAGCTTTATGAGAGCAGAACAGGAGCCAGATCCAAGAGGTTGAGTTTTGCTGGATTTGTTCAGAGCCGATTCCAAGTCCTCCAGATCTCCGCCCAATTGGAAAAGTCTGGTTGGACAGATTAGCAGTGGCCAATGTGAGACAACAGCAAGAAACAAAGTTTATGATCTCAGGAACAGTTAAGAAACATGTTTGATTGACACAAAATGGAGATAACCACTTACAAGAAGCCAAATGGGTTGAGGGAGAAGGACCCTATTGGAAGTGACAGCTGATCATTGTAACTGTCCTCCAGACCTTTCAGCTGCAGCAGTGCCAGACGCACCTGAGAGCAAACACAGATAACATCTTATTTCTGTCCTTTTAACATTTTTATATATTCATGTAACATCATCCTACAATTGCTCATTAAGTACCTGGTACCAGTAGGGTGAACTTGGCTGCTTCTCTATTTGGTCCTGAACCCACTGCAGATTGGTTGTGATGAAACCCTTAAGCCGCTCGCAGTAATCGGTTTCAGACGTTAAGGGCCCACAGTAATCCATAAGAGTGTTCATCCAGTGCTTATAGATGAGCTAAAACAAACCAAACCAAGTTTTAGATTAAAATAGCTGTCAAGTAAAGTAAATGAAACATGTTTGACTGCTTGGTAATCTGATCACAAACATGGCAGTAGAATGATGGTTTAAGCTGACCTGAGATGTGAGCGCAGCCTCCACTGCACCGGCAGCATAAGCCTGGATACTGTCATTGTACTGAGTGCTGGTGGTGACCTCCAAGAAAGACCAACTGAAAAGAGAGCACATGTGAATAACTAATGAAGATTATCTGTGTACAGGCTCTGAAGACTGCAGGTTTTCATATCAGTGGCACTTAAAACAGATGTAATCCACCAAAACTGAAGACCATTGCAGGTCTTTGGATCCCATCTTAGGAATCACTGCTGTTTATGTATTTTTCAGCCTCCTCTTGGCATGCATAGTATTTCCTGACACTTTATGCTGTTTATGTATTTTTCAGCCTCCTCTTGGCATGCATAGTATTTCCTGACACTTTATGGTGCACAGATATATCATGTGATTATTCCATTCTGTGTGGTTTTAATGTCCCTTTTTTCTTCTGTAAATGATTGTCAGCTGACCAGTGTTACATTTTTTGTGCCGGTGTAGCTTAATTTTCTCCATTTAGATCATCTAGCCATCATGATAAATTGGTAATAATTAAATATATATGTATGCCTATTCCAACAGGCATTACAGTGCATATCAAAAAGATTTAATTAAAAATGCTAATGATTTCCCCGGACTGTCTATCCTCTCTTATTTAACTGAGTCACTGCCATGGGTAAATTAGTTTTTTGCACGGTATTATTCATATTCAACAGAAAATTAATCGGCTACCGTTTTGTTATCAGGCAAAATGCCAAACGTTTGCAGGTTGCAGCGTCTGTAGTGTGAAGATTTGTTGTTTTACTCTAATTATAGCATTGTAAATTAAATATATTTGGGATCGGACAAAACAAGTCACTGAGATCACTTTGGGCTCTGGGAATTATTATTAAATAATTTTCACTGTTATGACGTATTATAAAATTAATCGATTATAAATTAAAGACACACAGGCCATATTAAGTTTTTGTAATTTTCTGACCAGCTAACGAGTAGTCCAGTAAAAAAGAAGAAAAATTAAGTCGTGTAACTTTAAATACTCAACTCACCCTGATTTTTTAATGTCATCAGTAAAGTTCGCCCAGGCCACAAAATCTTCTCGATATTCCTCAACAACAGACAGCTGCCCGGTTTGTTTGTCAATGACGGCGGTTCGTATTTCAGCTCGACCAGGCGCGCACAGAAAACACAAAACTGCTAAAACCGTTGAAACACTTCCAACAAACGTCTTCTTCAGCCTGGCCGCCATGTTTACATGAACAAGTCATGTGATGAAGAGGGTGACCAGTCAGCTGACATAATGGTGAGACTTCAAAATAAGAGACCCAAATCTGCTTACTGTGTTTTTTTCTCCCTCAATATGTTAGACACACACACACACACACACACTCCACTATCCCTGTCAGGACATCTCCACGTGACATAATGCATTCCCTAGCCCCTACCCCTAAACCTAATTGTAACTTAAATCTTAAAACTTCCACTTAAGCCTCAAAAAGCAGTCTCTACCCTGTGGGGATGGCAATATTTGCTCCTACTCTGACACAAGTCACCATGGGTTAGTGTGCATTCAGTACCCACCGAGATATAAGAACATAAAACACACACACAAGAGACACAACACAGCTTTTAAAGCATGAAATAAAATTTTATATAAAAACTGACATCTTTCTTTGAGGCATCACTCTGTACAAAACATGTGAAATGTAAGAAATTTCCGAGGTTTTCGAAGTTCTGCAAAATTCATTATAATTTGCTCCTCCTGCACATGCAGATCGGGTCCTTCTTTTGTCAACAGTTTTATTTATACAGAAAAAGACAGGAGCACTGGTCAGAGTTGTGTCGAGGCGTTTAGGGAACTCAGTCTTGCACACCCCCTTCGGTTTCCATTGTTTCCAGAATTCCTTCCAAAACCTCTGCCTTCCGCTGCTTCTTGGCAGCCACTGACATGTTGACATGAATAAATAACATGGAAGAAAGAAATTAATAAACAATGCAGCTGTTATAATTTCTACTTGTTACAAATATTTGTGGATTTACCATGAAAATGTTCCGCTGTTTTCCGTCTCAGCGTCTCTACTGTTTCCTCAGCATCAGCCCACTCCAGCACAAGGCGCCTCCCATACAGATGGGTGCTGTGGCACAGGGCAGCAAACGCTTTCTATAGAGAAAACAGGGACAATGCATTCGTTTACACATTAGTAGTTTACATTTTAGGGTAGCAATCGGGGACGGTACATTTCCGAAATACATGGCTGAAAGCTTACACAACACACAAACCTTAGCATCCTGTTTGGTGACAAAGTCAATAAACCCAAAGCCTCTATGATTCCCTGAACCAGCTGCCTTCTTTGGAAGACGGACTGTTTTCAGCTCTCCAAATGTACTAAATGGATAGAGGGAAGAAATCACAGTATGATCAAACAATCTTGCTCCAAACTTTCTCCACAAATAGTGTGTATAAAAAACTGTAGTGTGTGTGTGTGTGTGTGTGTGTGTGTGTGGGCTACCAGAAGAGCTCCCGAATTTCCCTAACAGTGGCTTGGAAGGGGACGTTGCGCACAAGGATCTTCGATCCTGTCTGTTTTTTCTCTACTTGCTTCTTCTTGCGTGAAACCTCAGTAGTCCTGCAGACAGGGGGAAATGACAACAGAAGTAGTGTTGTAATCAAGACCACCAAAACCGAGACCAAGTCAAGACCAAGGGCAGGCGAGACTGAGTCAAGACCCAGACCAGTTCCCCACATTACATAACACACAATAAAATGTGGAACGAGATCATACGTACTTCTCAAATTGATCTGAAAGATCAACATTCCCATTAAAACACCCACATACAAACACTAATCAAAGTTCGGATGTTAACAAATAAATCAGACAAAAGCAATTTATTGATATTCCCAAAGTTATGGTCTTGACTGGTCTTGAAATAAAATCTCAAGTCCTCAATGTCCGAGACCGAGACAAGACTGAGTACAATTGCGGTCGAGTCCAAGACGAGATCAACACCATCAAAAAGTGGTCTTAAGACCGGTCTGGAGACCAAGACCAGTCTCGAAGAACTACAACACTAAACAGAAGTGAGGTTTACATGCCAGCTGCAAATTCTGCCCCACAAACCCTTTCACTTAACAGTTTGATACAATGTTTAATGTCATTTACCAATAAGTGATATTTTCATTGACATGTCAGCTGATACCAATATTTCTAATTTCAGTGCCTGTTTCCTCCAGTGGAGTTAACATGTTATAATTTAAGTGTGATGCTTGGTGCTGATGGAGAGGCTTAATACACTCGATTAGCAACTGTCCCCATTCACTACTAAACACTTTATTTACGTAAACGTAATTACGGGACCGACATTTTTATTCTTCACCACAGTCACTAAAACCCTTCTGATGCACATCTTACCTGGTGGCTCTCTCAGAAATCTTCAGCTCTAACTGGTGATCATCCACAGTACAGTGCTGGTGGAGGGTTAAGACAAAGAACACACATTAGCCAAGGCCCAGGCTGTAGAGAAAAGCTTCCAGTTTCACAGAGGAAATAGAGATGGTACCTGTAGCTGCCTCAGGGCTTTCTGTGCTGCCTCTGCCGTCTGATACTGGACAAAACCGTAGCCCATTGACAACAGCTTGCCTGGGAATCAAACATCCAACATTGTAAGGTGGTGGTTAACTCTGATTCAATAATAAAAAATATCAGTTTTACCAACTGAAAAACCAGAAAACATTTTATGTATTATTATACATACATTCCTACGTGTAACTTTGGTGTATCTATAAGTCTATAAGTAATTTACCTGTTTTATCTTTCTTTCTGGAGATGGAGCAGGACTTGACTTTGCCACATTTGGAGAATGTCTGCAACAAATGAGAACATCAATATTAAACATATCACACATCAGACTATGATTTAATCCTTATTCAACGTTATAAAATATAACTCAGGGTTGTATTCATGAATTGACCTACCTCCTGTAGTTTCTCCTCTGTCGTGCTGAAATTAAGATTCTTAATGAAAAGTGTGGAACCAGGAGCAGATTCCTCCTCCTCCTCCTCATCTTCTTCTTCCTCTTCTTCCTTCTTCTCCTCTTTCACTGGCTCCACTTTTTCTAATACTTCATGGACGGAACCGAAAAATATTCTGATTATTCAAATGATCCCTTTCATGTCCAAAAGAAATACTAAGCTTGCAAAATATTGTGAACTTTATGTGTTTGCGGGATTTTACCTGATTCCGGTTTGGCTGCCACAAACACCCCCACAGGTGCCCACTCCAAATACAGCGGGACGTGTTGGAACTAGAGTGTTTAGAGATAAGTAGCAGTCTTTAAATCATTCAAACATTTGCTGCAAGTGCAGAGTTTGCTGGTAAAGAGCTATACACACACACCTTGCTGTAGGCCAGCCGAGTGAAGGCTCGTTTTGCCTCCGTTGGCTCAAGGAACTCAATGATGGCGGTGAGCCCCGATGGCGGCAGCAGCACTCGGCCCAAAGAGCCATGAGGCGAGAAAAGCTCCTCCAACTCTGACGTCGTCACTCCAGCTGGAAGGTTTTTCACCAGGATCACAGTTGTGCTCCTCTCTGCTGCCGCCTGTACACCAGGGGAAACAACGCACGCAGGAAACAACCTCAGGCAAGGTAACTGGTATATTCTTTACAGTCAATTTAGCAACGAGTAAAAAGGAGTTTGTATTAAGCATACCTGACTAAAGGAATCCAGACTGACAGCGTTGTCTAGCAGAAACTGTCGAGTCTCCTGAACGATCTGTGTCTCTCCCAGAGCCATTCTTACTGCAACGCTTCCCTTTGACTCCTGCAGAGGATGGCAAAAAGTATTAAGAAACCTTTAATGTGCACTGCTCAGTGTGCTTAATGTTTCACAATTTATGTGGAGCATTAACGTTGAAAACAGGATGCGGTGTTACTCACATGGTCTAGGACTTGGCTTTTTGTGGTGTTGTATTTTTCAGCAATGGCATCTGCCACTGCACTTGTGCCCAGAAACAGGGTGTTCCAGTTGTGGGAGCTAGAATGAAACATAATAAGGATGGATCATGACACAAACTAAAATGATTAATTATTTATCATTATGCAGAGGGGTTAATGTGATTCTATTTACCTGGAACTTGAGGCTTTATTTTTAGCATCTTTTTGCCGCTTGAAAGACGAAGAGCCAGGACCGCCAGCATCTGAAGAGTCTGTCTTCTCCTTCTTCACTGTGGAGGGAAGCAGGTGAAGCATCCTGCCCTAAAAGCACGTGAGAGTGATTGTTTCTGATCAGCCTGAATCAACTGAATTAGAAAATCTGTTCCTGTGGTGTTAAGAGATATGTCAAACATCAGTTGGAGAGCAAATACCTGAAATATATGTCCATCCAGCTGAGCCAGAGCTGTTACAGCATTCTCTGGTATCATGTATGTTATGAAAGCAAACCCTTTAGGTTTCTTGGTTAGATTGTCAATAGGGAAGAGCACCTCAGATAACGGTCCTGTAAAGATTGGAAAATTATTATCAATTATAAACGCTGGTGAAAGCCTGTGGGAACTTGTATGAAAGAGTTGTTTTTATTCACCATGTTTAGCAAACAGCTCTTTGATCTCTTCCTCGGTGCAGGTGTACGGAAGGTTCCTGATGAAGAGCCGACCTGACTCTGCAACATCTTCCTCCTCCTCGTCCTCCTTGAGCTTCCTGGTGAAGTTTCTGTCAATTTCTTTGTCCTTTCTGTCTCTCTTGCCCTTACCCCCAGAGGCATCCACACGGAAGACCTCAATGTAACGCCCACCTGAACACAGGCAGAAGGAATGTCACTGTCACCCAGGGAATCTAAACACACACATTTGTGAGGTCAGGCACAGATGTTGGACAAGAAGGCCTGGCGCGCAGTCTCCGCTCTAATTCATCCGAAAGGTGTTCTATCGGGTTGGCGTCAGGACTGCGCAGGCCAGTCAAGTTCTCCACACCAAACTCGCTCATCCATGTCTTTATGAACCTTGCTTTGTGCTAGTGTTACTTTCGTCAGATGAAACTAAACGAAATATATTTGTCAACGCCCTTTTTTCCCCTGACTAAAATGAGACGAAGACAAGACGACGACAATGTCCTTAAACGCTGACTGTGACTATACTAACATGCAATATTGTTGACGAAAAATGACGAGACTAAAAATGTAATTCACAAAATAAAAACGTTAATAAAATCTCTCTCTTTCTTTTTGTCAGTATAATGAGGAGACAAAATATTACCCAGGCAATATTTTTCCCTCTAAATTTTCACTTGAACAGTGTTCATTCAGCGGTATTTTTTTCTTCCTGTGCTTTGAATACTGGTCGACATCAGCTGATGTCTCATTAAAACTGAACTCACCCGAAAGCTATGTATAGTTCGCGCACTAATGTGGTTATAAGATTTTTGGAAAAAACAGAAGGAAAAAGAACTTAAAGCGGCATATCAAGGCCTAACCACATGGGAACTGAAGTAAGTTAATGTCTCCTTTGCAATAAAAATGAGAACAAAGCTAACATTCGAATCATATCTCTATTTTGGTTAGAGCAGATTGACCAAAATGCTAATCAAAATTATATTAAAATGATGGTTAATGACTAAAACTAGACTAAAATACTTTTGATTTTCTTTTGAGTAAAATCAGACTAAAATACCCAGACTTTTAGTCAACTAAAACTTGACTAAAAAAATAGTATAGAGTGGACTAAATATGACAAAAACTAACAAGGACATTGCATTGCACTTGATGTAAGGCTTGGATGCAGCTGCTCAGCCATGGAAACCCATTCCACGAAGCTCTCTACACACTGTTCCTGAGCTAATCCACATGACATTTGGAGGTCTGTAGCTACTGACTCTGCAGAAAGTTGGTGACTTCTGCTCACTGTGCACCTCAGCATGCACTGACCCCGCTCTGTGATTTTATGTGACCTACCACTTCATGTCTGTGTTTCTGTTGTTCCCAATCGCTTCCACACAAACAGTTGACCGTGGATATTTAGTAGTGAGGAAATTTCATAATTGGACTTGAATATAAGCAGCAATTAAGGATGAAAGTCATATTTAACATGTCCACAATCTCTTTCTTACAGCACACAAAGATAGGGTTGCATCAAACAATTATTTTTATTACAGATAGGGCTGGGCGATAAAAATGTTATCACAATAAAAAATGTAATATCATTCGAAATGTGAAATCATTATTTCTTCAGTTCAAAGGCTGATTTCTGGTCCTGAGTGAAAGAACCAGATGGTTGATTTTGGTTTTAAACTATTATTTAATATCATCAACAAAATAAATATCTAAATAGAAAAATGAAGTGCCGATTCATTCATGATTCAAATGTATTAAATCAAACATTTATTGAACATTTGTCATATTGTTATTGAGGAAAATTATATCGCCATAATTTTCATTATTGTTTTACTGCCCAGCCCAAGATAAATCAAAGTCTATAAAACAGCAGAAAACCGTGAAAAACGCCCACCACAATATGTGATGACCTCAGCAAATGTCTTGTTTTTTCCGACCAAAAGCCAAAACCCTAAAAGTATTCAATTTATTATAATAAAAGACCAAGAAAGTGGCAGTTGAACCTGGACCAATCAAATACTAAAATTAAAAATATATCTAAATAGTTTCTGATTTGTTTTCTGTCAATTGACCTATCATTGCTGCGCTACACACATTAACAGAAAGCAATGTAAGATACTTTTACAATCAAAAATTATGCAGAAAAATAAAAGTATGTTTCTCACCTATGTAGTCTTTATTCTTCTTCAAAGCCTTTTCCACCTGTTCTTCAGAGAGCAAGTCCACATACACATAACCTGAAACACACACATAAGTGGTGATACATAGGCCTGTACACAGCAATCAAAGACACATACAATACATATAGATGTTCTACCCACCAGATATAGTTGGTATGAAGGATATTATACATGTAAACTATTACATAGTACATTAAAAACGCCTTTGATAACAAACCTGTTCTATTTCCACTTTCGTTCTTTCCAATCCTGATCGCTGCAGGCTTCAGCGGGGTCATGAACTCTCGAATTTGTTGCTATAAAATGTCACACATAAAGCAATATGTTGGTGTCATAGATGCAGACACGTGAAATATACAGGATGTTTTTTAAGTGGGATATCTTCAATGCACCTCTGAAATCAGGAGGTTCTTGTTTACTCACCTCTTTCACATTGAACGGGGCTCCTCTCAGCTTCACCGTGAACTCCGTCACCGGCTCCGTCTGCAACAAATAGATGTGGGTCGTAAAGCACAACAAACTGATAACAAATACTGAGGTGTATTGAATAGTAATGTTTAACGCGTAAATTTGTTTGAACAGTCACCTCTTGCTTTGCAGTTTTCTTCGCTTTGCTGTGCTTCTTATCCTCAGAGGAAACTGTGGTGTTGGTCTTTGAGGTGTCGCCACTCTCATAGGCGCTGTCTGTGTGCTGCACAGGACCATTATCCTCATCATCGCCACCTGCACCATCATCCTTCAGTTCATTCTCCTCCATGGTGTCATCTGTCTGGGCCACCTTTGAGCGTAGGTACTCCATATCTGACAAGCCAGACTTCAGTGCTTCTTTAGAGGCACCTGAAAGCAACAGCACGCCACAGAAAATTATACAAGTCAATCATGCACAATCACTTGTACATTACACTTGATTCCTTTAGAAAAAAAATAAAAAATCCTATGCAAGGGCTTCACCCTCCAAAAGGACATGGCCCACAAACACAGGCCCCAAAAAGACCTTAAAGCCAAACTTAACCCACTGCTCCTCCTTAAATGAGGCTGTAAAGTCAAACATTTCAAGGTTTAGCTCCAGAAGATTGTCCTAAGACGTGTAAAAACTAGTAGTAAACTGGGGAAGGTGAAGAAGTTAAATACATGATGGATAATTGACTGATAGCGTACCTGGTTTGTGGTAAATGTATGCATATGGGAGGATCTACCTACCATCTACCTACGCTAAGAAGGGACCACCATTACCAACCTTCATCATATTCTTCTTCCTCATCCTCTGACTGGTCCGAATCAAAGTTGAGGTAATCATCTGAAGCAGGCTTCTTCTTGCCCTGAGTCTTTGTCCGTCTATCGTCAGGATCAGGTTTTAGCTGCACAGTGTCGTTCGCCCAGGTTGGTGCTTGGCTTCGATTCTGATGTACTGACAGAAACTCCTTGAATCCCTGGTCCTCTTCCAGCTGGCACACACAACAAGTGGACACACAGCGTCACATTAACAGGTGTTAATGAGTTGTGTTGTTATAAAACAATGAACTGAATGTACAAGTGTAATATATATGGAATGCAAGTGCTCAATGAAAAAGATGATTGATTAAAAAGTTCTCAAATGTTAAAAACTTTGATTTAAATCAGTAACTATTTGATTAAAGAATAACCAAACAAGATCATGAATCTCATATTCCTTCGTCTGTACACCGTGCTATGTGCATGAGTTGGTTGGTAGAAGGTTTGATAACAAAGTTCCATCTAATCCACAGTCGGATCTTCTACAATTATCATTTAACAACAGACAAACATAGCTGGTGACTGACACATTTACTCACATTTCCAAGTGTGCTGTTGGTTTCCTTTTTCTGTTTCTTTTTCTGAAGATAGAAACAAGTTTTTAAAATCAGTGACAGTGCTGCAGACCTTAACTACATTTTTCTGCATTAAGACAATATAATGTGGCTATCCACATGGTAACATAAGATTAAGTGCTATGAACATTTTGTCAGAATGATGTTTTTAACAGGATAAATTGTGTGAATGTACAATTGTGGGGAAGGAAAGCTTTGTTATTGTTTCTCTTTGCAGACATGCAAAGCTTTCATGCAACTGCTCCTTCAAATGTTTTCCTGCCAGTTATTTTTGTGTCTGCACGTACCTTCTTGCTGTCAGTGTCTGCAGGAGTGGAGGGTTTGTCCGGGCCTGAACTCTGGGTATGTTTGCTCCAGGCTTTTGCTTTAGTTGGGTCTCCAAAGGCCTTACACATCTCCACCTAGAATAAAGAACACCCAAAGCTTCACATAGGGTAAAACAACAATAATGTCATCAACACGCGTGTTCAGTCGTGAAGCCATACCGTCACTTTAGACGTGTCCACGAAGCTCTTGTTATAATGTTTCAGAGCTCTGTTCGCATCTTCCTCGGCTTTAAAACCCACAAAGCCGAACTTGCGGAATTTGCCGTCCTTTGTAAACTTCAGGGAGCAGTCTGTCACGGTGCCAAAGGCTGCAAACATCGACTTGAACCTCTCCTCCTTCATCTGCACGCAAGATCCACAAGAATTAGCCAACATTTCCAGGTGGACTGAAACAAAATGCTACAGTTACTGACTGCTGACATCCGGGCAGGTTACTTACCCCATTAGGGAGGTTTTTAACGATGATTCTCGACATAATTATGGTAGTTGTAAATCCACTAATACAGCATAAGTTTGGTTTTCCAATTTATGTCAACAAACGAGCGTGGACTTTCCTCTAGGTCGCCATCTTGAGTGGGAGGAGCCTGCCTATTCTTCTTCTTCTTCTTCTTTAATGGCGGATTGCAAACAACTTTTAAGTGCATACCGCCACCTACTGTACTGGAGTGTGTAACATCATATCACTCAGCTATCAACCTCAATAAGGTGCTCTCATATTCTGTTCACCAACCCAGTGTCTTTAAGAAATTTAGATAATGCCTTCCTGGTGATTCTTATACCCTTTTCTTCTCCTTCTGTTCCCAAGACCCCCATCAGATTCCATTCCCGCCCTGCTTCCTGAACCCTATCTTGAAATATCCGTCTTTCCAACTTTTCACTATTCCTTTTCCCCAATAAAAACAAGGTGCCATTCAGTCCTGTGTGATCTACTCTTAGTCTTGTCATAATAATTTCCTCCCGCCTGCTCCTTTCGCTATAATTTTTATTACTGACAGACTTTTGTATTTTATAGTAACTCCTTCCTTTCCTGTCTTCCTCCCACCATTTCTGCCATATTTCAGTACCTTTCTTCTTAATGGTTGCTTTTAATTCTCCTTTTCCTAGCAGTATTTGAACTGTTGTTTCCTTTTGTAATGCCTCTTTTGCTAGTTTGTCTGCAATCTCATTTCCATTTACTCCCTCATGAGCTGGCACCCAGCAAAACTGAACATCTATCCCTCCCCGATGTAATCTTAATAAGCTGTGAAACATTTCTATCAGTAGGTCTTCTCTGACAGATGTCACTGACTGAATGCTTTTAATAACTGCTAAGGATTCTGTGCATAATATCACCCTATCAGGTCTGACCTCTTCAACCCACTGTAAAGCTATAATGACTGCCACTATTTCTGCTGTATATACAGATAGCCTATCTGATAATCGTTTTGAGATATTTATTTTGAATTCTGGTATATGTATTCCAATTCCCACACATTCCTGTTTTTAAATCCATCTGTATAGATTTTTAGATAATTATGGAAACTGTTTCTCAGATAGCTGCTTGTCCGTATTCCCACTTCCTCTCTTCCCCATCCTCTTTTCTTTTCCAAGATACTAAAATCTGTTTTTACGTCTGGATAGAGCCAAGGTTGAATGTTACTGACTGGACTGGGTGTGCTGAAATCTAATGCTTCCATTCCATATTCCCTGACTCTCTTTTCCCCCGTCCATCCAAACCCATGCCCCCGAAACTTGAAATATTCCCAACAATCCTTTGTTATCTCCTTTGCAGGGTTTTCTTTCCCACTTCCTTTCAATCTCACCCAATATGCTAGCGCTAGTTTCTCTCTTCTTAACTCCAGTGGTGTCTCTCCAGCTTCTATGAGTATTGTGTTAATGGGAGTTGTCTTCATGGCTCCAATGCATATCCGTAAGGCTCTGTATTGTAATTTATTGTTTTTGCTGCTGCATCATATACTGAGCAACTATAATCTATTGATGACCTCATGTATGCTCTATATATGTCAATTAGTGACTGTTTATCTGCACCCCAGTCACATCCCGCCACCGCTCTCTGTAAATTAATAACTTGTTTGCATTTAGTTTCCAATTGCTTTATGTGTGTTTTCCATGTGTACTTAACTATCAAACCACAATCCCAAATACTTAAATTCATTTACTTTTTCCATTGGCTGCTGATATAGTAAAAGCTTTTCTACATGACACTTTCGCTTGTTTGTGAACACCATATAACAGGATTTGCTTGTTGATATTTTAATCCCCACTTGAATGACCACTTCTCTAATTTCCCTATTGCTTTCCTAATGTTCTCTAACACATATGTCTCATTTCTTCCTCTCATCCATATGGCCCCATCATCTGCATATGACGCTAATTTGATGTGTCCATCTAAATCTGAAAATATGTCATTGATCATAATGTTGAATAATATAGGGCTAATTGCGCTCCCCTGGGGAATGCCATTAATCCTTCCTTCAAAACCCATTCTATATAGTTTAATAAGTAGTCCTTCCCTCCACATAGTATCATATGCCTTCTCAATGTCAAAATACACTATTAACATCAGCTCTTTCATTTTCAGTGCCTTTTCTACCTCATCACTTACTCTAACAAGAGCATCTCTTGTGGAGCGCCCTTTCCGAAATCCATTTTGTATATTACTCAGTAGTCCTCTCTGTTCCATTACATGTTATCCTCTCCACTCATTTGCATAAGTGAGATGTCAGAGCTATGGGTCTATAATTACCAGGATTGGTTGGGTCTTTACCAGGTTTGCTAAACGGTTGTATAACTGCACTTTTCCAACTTCTCGGTATTATTCCATCCTTCCATATTTTATTGAACAGTCTTAACACTAGCTTAATTGACTCTACTGGCAGCTGTTGGAACATGGCATAACATAACTGGTCTTGTCCTGGGGCTGTATATCCCGTGCCAAGCAGAGCTATGTTGAGTTCTGATATTGTAAAATCCACATCTAAAGTTGTTGTACCATCCTCCCTCTTCAGCTTCACATCCTTATTTTCTCTGAGTGCCAGGTCTTTCTGTTGCTTATGAATATCCATAAGGTGATCACCACTCTGCACAGCAGCAAAAGCCCTACCCAACATCTCTGCCTTTTCTTTATCCGACACTACCGCCTTTCCTTCATCTATCAAAGCTGGGATTTTAGTCGCTTTCCTTTTCCCACTCATTCTTTTAAACATAGACCATATGTCCCCTAACTCTACACCTCTACCTATGGTGGAACAGAACTCTCTCCAATTTTTTCTTTTTGGTTAACTTAATTGTCCTATGTGCCACTGCCCTTTTCCTTTGAAAATCCAAAACACTCTCTTGTGATAAATTCTTCTTTAATGTTTTAAAGGCTTTGTTTCGTTCTTTTACAGCTCTGCTACACTCACACCAGGTGACCACTTTCTTCCTGCCCTTTGTTGTTCTTTTTGGAATACTTAAATGTGCTGCATTTATAATGTGTTCTGTAATTTGCTTTGTGCATTCCTCTACATCACCTTCTAACGTCACAAGGTTTGCTGACTTCGTACAACATAACTTAAATTTTTCCCAGTCTGCTTTCTCAAAGCACCATCTGTTAATTGTATAGTGAGAACTGGAAAATGGTCACTTCCTATGGTAGAATCATTCATAACAAACCATTCACATGCGTTTACCAAATTATCTGATACCAGTGTGATGTCTAAACATGATGTTTTACCCCTGTTCACATCCATTTGTGTTCCCTGTCCATTATTAATTCAGACCAGTGATCATTTCTTCCATCATTTCTTCAATTATTATCTGTGTGATTGCTGTCCCATTAGCTGTTATGTGCAAGTCCCCACACCATATTTCTTTCCTGTATACAGTCCCTGCCATTTCATTAAGTTTGTTAATATCTAAATTTTTGCATGGGTTATAGAAATTAATCAATTTACTTTCCTTGGGCTATAGATTTCAGCTATTATACATTCTAAATCTTCTGAACTTGGGGATTCCCTGTAGGCCAACCCATCCTTGATAAAGGTGATGCAGCCTCCACCAGTTTGGTTGTTAGGTCTATCATATCTTATAGAGCTAAACCCTGATATCACATAATCTAGTCTGTCTCGTAACCAAGTTTCTTGTACACATATTATATCTGGAACAATATCTAATTCATGAATGTACTTTTTGAATTCTTGACCATTAGCTATAAGACTTCTTGCATTCCACTGTAGTATGTGAAGAACCATTATAAGTGTCCTAACCCTCAGTTTGTGTATTTCCATTTTCAGTTACCGTCAACAATGCATGTATTTGATCTGCTTTGATATCTTTCATATCAAGACGTTTTCCTGCTGCTTCTACAATAGCCTTAATTCTGTCACTTTTCTTTTTCAACTGGGACGCAACATTGATGGTGTGACATATGAAACCCACAAAGTTCACTTTTTTCACTATCAACGTATCATCGTCAACTTTACATTTATGCTCGCAACCATTCTGTGGAGCCTGCCTCTTCTTCCTCCTCCCTGTTTTCAGAGTTGCCTGTTGCTCACATAGATTGTAGGCGTCATACCGCCACCTGCTGGACTGGTGGGTACCGCAATAAATTGTCAGAAAAAAAGACAAAAGTACACGCCCTCTAATAAACCTGTTTCTTTTGATTTCAGAATTATTTAATAATAAATGACTATATATTGTCCTTGGTCAGTAGTGGAGTGTAACTAAGCACATTCAATTGAGTAGCTTTACTGTATAAAGCACAAAATTGAGGTCGGCTTACTTCAGAATCAGAATTATTTTATTCTTTATTCTATTATATTAGATGAAACGTTGTCCTATATTTGGAACAGGCAACATTTACAGAGTTATTCTTTTTTAGGAGTAAATTGCAGTTCAGTTTGTGTCCAACCTCTTTAACTTTTGATTTACTTGGAAGGTTTGGATTGTACTGTGCGCATGTAACCAACCTGTTAGCTCTTTTACAGTAACCCTGTATCTAAATAACTGTTAGAGTACTCTCCAAAAAACTACTTCAATTCTTTTTTTTACTAGTATTCTTTGTCATATACTATTTTGAGTAATGCTTTGGGTAAGTATGAATACTTCCGTGGGAGCCATTCATGTTTATTGTTGGCATGTGATATGATTTTGTTTAGATAGGTACATTTTGCATCAGTATTTGGACGCTGGGTGGCAGTGTAACGGCACAGGGTTGTATATTTAGTAGCATAGGTGAAATGGTAGGCCCAGGTAGGGGGAGTGGACACAGTTCTCATCAGACCTCACCAGACCATAGACCAACACGCTGCAACTTGCAACCATAGAATTGGAAACAAACCAGTACATTCATCTTTTTGTACAACTACTCGCTACTGCAATCAACAATAAACTGAACTGCAAATAATGACTGGAAAATCTATTGTGTGTGTGTAAGACTTTCCTCCTGCCTATGTAGGCAGAGCCAAAGGAAAGGACACTGGAAGAGTGGAAACATTTTTCTAATAATCTTATTAATTCTAGCTCGTGCTAAGACACACACTTCAATGAGCCCTTTGTTCTCCAAAACTGAAATACCATGGCAGCCTATAAAAAGTTCAGTTTGAGCTTGTTCACA